AAGGGTTGGCGTAATAAGCAAATGCTTCAGCCAATACCTTTTGATTAGCCTTGTCTCATGCTTTCTTGCTTTGTGGTAGATCTTTGTTCTGTATTCATTGAGATATTTGAATGCTAATCAATAAATCAAATCAAATCAATCAAATCAAAATACAGCCAAATATTATGAACACACTACATTTGTTCCAAGCTGGGGTTAAATGTGTCATGCAGCAGGGTGCACAGGCTCTGGAAAGAGCAAGAATAAAAGTTTAGGAAAGGGCAGTTATAAATAAGCATTTATAAATGATGAGCCGTCACGCTGCTTTGTTTTTCTTTGGTCTGTTTCCACTTCGGGCTTAATAAGCATGTTGCACTTGGCTCCAGCCCAAGCAGCATCAGCCAGCAGAGTCTCCATCAACCTTTAAATCCACAGTCCTGCAGGAGTCCAGTGCAGGAGCTGTTTAATGGCTTTGGGGAGGATTTAACATGGAGGGTTAAAAAGAACTGAAGACAACTGCTTGTAGGAGTTATGTGACACACCCTGTAATACACTGCAGAAATATTCTGCTTCAAATTCTGACTCATTTTATAAATGAATATCTACCAAACAGTATATTAACAATATAATAATAACAATGATCTAGATAGACTGTGTGGAAGAGGCTTCCCCTCGTCAGGAACACAAGTTGTCCTCGTGTCTGCAGCACTACGGGGGGTTTAAGCCTTTTAACTCTTAAAAAAGCAATCGTTGTACCCAATCACTGCAGCTCACAGGCGGAGCCAGTGAAGGGTAAAAGGCTGTACACGGTGTGGACGTTGTGTCAGGCCACATCTCTTACTGAGTCCAGACGTTTTCAGTCTCATTGCCACAGGTATCAACTCCAGCTTGTAGCCATGCAGCCGTTGCCAACATTTTTCAAAGAATGTGTTTTTGAATTCTGGCATGGTCCTGTAAGACGGTGCCACCAGTTTGTGAAATTTAGATGTTTCACAGTCGTTTAGGAGCAGCTTAGCCAAGAAGTGACTGATCATATAAAGTTATAGAGTTTTGTTGCAGAGGTGTATAGTGCATACAAGTTGCCAACGCTCTGCTGACTCACTAACTGCAGATTTCCAAACACAAAAAGTGTGTGCCTGGAACATCATAGCAGGGTTTCCATTGCCAAACAACTCCTGTAGGTGTAATGTGTAGTTATCTATACAGTGTACTTGGGTGGTGATGCTAATAGAGCAAAAACAAGAGTGAATATTGGGTTTAAAGTAATCATCTGCGTTGAAATATGATTCCAGATGATTGATGGTGTTGTTGTGATTCTGCTGGAAATAATGAACATCTTCACTATCATTCTCATTGTCATTGTATATTACAGTTTGTGTTTGTGTTTATAGACTTTTTTTTTTTACTGATTTAAGTCCTCATTTTCAATTCCCATGAATATTCCCAGAAATATATAAAAACAACAACAAAAGAGCTCTGAGTCAAAGGTAACTGCACAGTATGTCATGCCTGTTATAAGCAGTGTGTGCTACCAACTTTTTTCTGGCAACAGTTCGTCTTTTAATTGTCTTCTTTGTTACACGAAGTTAAAACACCTTTAAACACACCTGACACTAATTTGAGTTGAAGTTG